GCTACGTCCACAGAATCAGCTTTTGGAGATTTACTTTCCTGGATGATTGAGATGCATCAAGACGTTCAAAAAGTATAGTTTGGGTGATTCTTCAAGCGTCATATCTAGGGATGGGTATCAAAAACCGGTTCTTGTTGAGAACCGGTTCCCACTGTTTCAATTCCTTGGAGTTGTTTGCCATTTTTGCAAACAATTCCCTTTTCAATTCCAGTCGCCCCGAATGACGTCACCACGTTGCGGAGCGTCATTTACCTGGCAGGAAACACGGCGGCTCAAACGCTCAAAAGTTTGGCTATACTTTACGAGAACGGATGACAACAGGGCAACTTGCAATACTTGCAAAGTGGATATTTCATTTAAGGGAGGAAACACTACGAATATGCAAAAGCATTTGCTCGCAAAACACACGATGACCTTAAATGAATGTCGTGTTTTTAATTCCGCTCCGGACTCATGAATCTCAACCCAGCAGCAGCGGTAACGTTTGCACGTCCTCTCCCGTTAATGCGGCAGGTAAATAATCAACTAACAGAGCATATTATGTTAGCGCGATCTGCCTTATTACAAACCTGCCATCACTGTGCGTTTAGAGACCATGATGAGACAGACAGAGTCTGGCTCAGACGCTGGCAGTTCTCGCTGCAGTCTGCCGGTAGCGTCTCCTTTCAGGCCAGGATAGACGAATGTCACCGAGCAGAGACTCAGTTTGTGGTCAAAGGCTTGCAGCCGTTTGCCACAGCAGGTGATTTTCAGTAAGTGAATGTGTTTAATTGTAGGCAGGGACTTTACTGGATATTCATGTGTTTTTGCTACAGAAGAATATTTATTTTATTATTTTACATTTACAATTTTTTTTCCTGGGGACCCTGTGACCCAGTGAAGAGCCGCAGGCTGGATCTCTTAAGATCTCACTGTTGGGTTTGTAAGGCCATGTTACTCCTAAATTTCTTTCTTGTTCAAAGAGAAGATATAAAACAAAGTTCTAAGCTAATCGACCTTAGTGTTCTCCTTTTTCTAAAAAGAATTGATAAAGAATCGATAAGAGAATCGAATCGTTAAACAGAATCGAAAATGGAATCGGAATCGTGAAAATCTTATCAATACCCATCCCTAGTCATATCACCGTGTGGGATAGGTGGCAGCTTACAGCATATGAATGCTCTCCCTTTTTATTACCATTACGACACCAGGCTGATCTTCTAGCAGTGATTCGTTCTGAGCAGAAAAACACATGCTGTCATGTCATTATCTCCTATACTTATGAAGGGCTCAGAAATGGTGGGAAAACTCGAACTTCAAAGACCTGGAACTCAGGAAAGATTCATAGTATGATGGTAAAATTTTGGATAAAATTAAGGGGTTTAGGTGAAACGTATGGATATGGAATATGGATTTGTGGTTATGTAACAGGCAAAAGAAGACCAAATGTCTATCAGAGAGGCTGAAATGTGCAGTGAGACATTAACACCTAGACAGCAGCTGACTGGGACTCACTTGGCGTAGGCTTTCTCCAGCAGGGCGCTCCAGAACTCTTGTCTTTCTGGGGAGCTGAGGAAGATCAGATTGTTGTCCACAGTGGGCAGCAGGTCATCGATCCGTACCTCCTCCCACTGACCGTACTGCCAGAACTACACAGTGAGAGAAAGAGAGAGAGAATATCATCTGATTTAGGCTGAGAATTCACTTGAAGAAGATAACTGCATATTAAACAGAGCTTTTGTACCCTGAAAGTGAAGCAACCGCTGTATCCATCTTGGAAGCTCTGGCCCAGAGGCACAACCTTCTTGAGCAGCGATTGATTCATGGAGAGAGACGCTATAGCCGAAAGTAACCAGCAGTCACCTGGAAAAGAATGAAGTAGGTCATGACATCATTTAAAGCTTCAGTGCACAATGCTGGATGGTCCTCTTTCCATTTTAAATCACTTCCAGCCGTGCACCATCTTTCACCTACAGTCTTCATTAAACCTTTATGTGCTGGGTGTAACAGCTATTCAACGCTGACATACAGCATATACAGAGAGCTGTTTGCACTGTTGTATTTGAGGAAGGAGGAACATGTTTAACCTGGTCTTCAGGGTGTGACACAGACCCACCTGTGTGGAAGGAACAGAAAAGACCTGAGGTTCTCAATCTGATGTAGCTATTGTATATGATTTGTTTTGTCCTTGATGCCACTCAGCTCAGTTAATTTTACCCAGTCACCAGTGCAAGTACTGCAACAGAGATATACACAGTTTCAATGGCCCTGAACTCTTTCCAGGGTGCACCCCTCCCACCCTCCAAAGTGACCCAGTGTCAGCTGGGAGAGGTTCCAGCATCTCTTTGATCTTCTCTACGTTTAAGACTAGTCTTAAAACTTGGTTTGAGGGTGTAGGCTGCTGGAGGATTTCTTTTTTTAGTCACATTTTCCATTTACTATGTGTACACATAATCTTCCAGCAGAACAGCCTGGTTTTGCTGGAGGATTCTTCCTGCTAAAAGGGAGTTTTTCCTTCCCACTGTCGCCAAAGCTCTTGCTCATAGGGGGTCGAGTGTTTGTTGGAGTTCTCTGTTGTGTTATTGTAGTGAGTTTTTACCTTACAATATAAAGTGCCTTGAGGCAACTGTTATTGTGATTTGGTACTATATAAATAAAATTAAACTGAACTGAATTGAATCAGGACAATAGTATCAACATCAGCACGAGGTTGTTTATCCAGACTGGATCTGTGCTGTGCCTTTATCCTGCAGGGCATTTCCTGGAATCAGTAGTGCTATGTTGAATGGGTGGGGCCAGCTCTGGTGACCACATCAGTGCACTCCTGGGGTTCAAGGGCTGTCAGAAATAAGCCTTCTGACAGTGGGCAAAGCGAAGGATTAGACTGAACAGCAAATCATGCAAAGCTGCTCTGGTGGAGTCCAAGAATGAAAAGGTGGTGGAAATGAGCAGAATAGGTCCACTCGAACTGAAAATACTTAGCTTATACCACCGAGTAGTACAGGAGATCTCTACTTACTGAGTTTCCCCTGGCGAACATCCAGCCTCGTTGCGCCATCTACTATGAACTGAGGTGATGAACAGAGTTCCTGGAAACAGAGCAATGATTGGTTGAAACAAAGACAAGAAAGAGCAGGAAGATGAATGCAAATAAACTTGATCTGACTTGTCTGCAGAGCCAAAGGGAGAGGCAGATAAAAGTTCATCCATCAGAACATTGTGGCACAAACTTGGCACACTGCCGGATGTGTGACTCCGAGTCAGACAGGAAGACTGAGATGAGTTTCACCAATGTTCAGTGTTTATCATGATAGAATTTTTAAAGGTGCATAAATAAAATGTATCAATTTTTTATAAATAATGATCATTCGTGTGACAATTCAAAAGTAACTGAGATAAGATAAGAAGCAACTTTTATTATAACCTGAGATCTATGACGTCCCCACAACTTCCTCTAGTGGCGACTCGAGAAGAATGCGCATACATATGTGTGTGTGAGATATGTAAATGAAGAGAGCTCCATAATGCAGTATTTACTCTGTGGGAGTTTTTTATGCATTTACGTTACGCAGCTGTTACGGGTTTGTTCTCCCTTTCGTAGTTACCTTTGGTCGCTTCCACTTGACCCCGGGCTGCATCTCCAGCTCTCCCATGGGGAAGTTAAAGTCCACGAACAGCCCGCTCGCCGGGCTCACTTCGCCGCTCTCCGGCGGTATGCCCCCGCTCAGAATTTCCGCCAGCCAGCGGCGGGACTGCGAGCCCATTAGCTCGTCGGAGCACACCGAGTCCACATCGTCCTCCGGCGGCGGCAGGGAGCTGTCAGACGATACACTCAAAGACTTTCTCATGGCGAACATTAACCGTGCTCTACCTGACTTTCAGCGCTCTTTCCTGTTTATAAGGTGCACAGATAAGCCACGCCCCCTGATAAATCCGCCCAGGTAGATGCTCACCTGGGCGGGAAAAACAGTCCCGGAGGGTTTTTATTGCGTTGCGTGAGACAGTCCCAGATGTGTTCAGTCAGTAAAGGCGGAAAACCCGCTGAAGGTTTCCAGGATTTCCTCAGTGGAGAGGCCACAGGAGCATTACCAATACACACGCGTGTGAAAACTAGTGTCCAATTCCAGTAACTGTTACAAATCTTACAAATTTTGCCACAGACTGTGAAGTTAAAACTCAAGTGCCTTACACCTTATCTACCAGCAGGGGGCGCCTCCTGAAAGTGGGAAAAGAAGCCTAGACTGTTTAGATATCTGCAGAAAATGTGAAATTGTGCTCACTTAACCTTTGACCTTAGTTAACACTTTCCAGATATCTTTATGGGCCATTTATTCCTTGCAAATATTATTAACTGACACTGACTCTTATTTTGTAAATGACTTCTCACACCATGTTAAAGACTATTATTAAAGTTACTCACAATACTTGAAATGTGCAATTCCCTTGTATTCTTATTCCTATTTATCCCTTTTGTATACGCAGTATTTATATACGTCTCTGTAGTTACATATGTGTAACTTCTGTCGGTGCTGTGATATTGGAAACCGAATTTCCTGGAGGAACCCACCCGAGGGATTAATAAAGTTTCATCTAATCTAATCTAAGATGGTGACATCAATAAAACCCCACTTGAGGCTTTATACGGGAACTTTACAAACCAAAAGGTGACTGACATATTTTACAGACGGTAACGTTATCAGTGGTCCTTGATGCACTCTAACTTTAGACTAACAAATCGCATTTCTCACCCATGAATTTGAGATTTTAGTAGTGGTGAGGAAACCTGTGTAGAACACAAAGCTGCTGAGCGGGTGAACAATAAGTCACCCAACTTCCTCTTACACCATCACACACTCAACACACAGCAAACCTAAAATTACAACACCTTCACCACAGGATGACTAAGTAGCAGCTTTAAGACTCCTTAAGGCTTCCCAACAGCTCCCAGCCAACGCCCTGATACCGTTTAGGAGAACAGATCAAAAATCAATCAATCAATCAAGAAGCAAACGCAGACAGGCTGGAAATGATAAATTACTTTTATTGAGAAAACTTGTGATTATGAAAACTAATGACCTGTCTGACTCCATCCTAACTGCTGCGTGTGGTTGTTTGTGTGTGAGTGTATTTATGCGTTTCCATCACTGAGATGTGGCCATGATGCTGGATACACCTGCAAAAGGAAAACAAAGGGAGAGCGGGGAAAAGAGAAGGAAATGAGGCATGAATATGAAATCTCTGACTTCACTTCCAGTCACAGTGAAACAAATAAAACACAAAAGACCTGCAAGGACCCGGGTTTGCCAGGCCTACGAGGGGGTGGTGGCGTGCATTGTCTTACAGTAATGAGTCTTACTTGGATTTTATGCTGATACAAATGAGATCCCTCTCTAAAAAAAAAACCTTTTTTTTTTTTATTACAACCCCGGCGATTTTGCTTTTGTAAAACAACACAAGTAGTTAGAACAATGCGGCGTTCGAGTGGTTTGACTCTCGGTGGGTTGTTTTGATTAGCTGTGACTTTTCAGCACTAATATGCGCAGCACTCACTCTCAAAGTCGATCTTCTCCACGATGTTCTTGGGCTTGACGCTCTCCTCCTGGTTGAAGATGAAGATCTGTCCATCCTCGTTCTCCGTCCAGCCGTACTTGTTCATCCACACCTTCACCTGCGTGTCTGCACACACAGAAAACAGAGGTTCACACAGATTTACCACCAACATGGAGTCTAATCGTCCGCTTTACTTTAAAGACGGCCGATTTATGTTGAGCTGTGCCCATTAGAAGCTTCTGTAGCTGCTGATTTAACAGATGCGCGTTGTTACGTGTCACACAGTCAAAACAACTTATAGTCTTTAAATATCAAAGGTTGATTGCACTGAGCCGTCTGCCAGGTTTTTACACGTGTGTGTCAAAGGTCTTACCCAGCGGGTCTCCGAGCATCTCGGCCAGTAAGCGGCGATCGATGGTCTGGTAGGTGATGCCCACAACATGGCAGATAACTAAACAGAAAACATTGGAGTTTTTATCATGTTCAAACAGTTTCATGTGGTTTATTCTCAGAATTGGGCGTGTCTGTGTCTGAGGTTGTTCAATTAAACCAGCTGTTTGTGTTCAGTGTAGTGGCGTGCTGCCCAACGTGCTGAGTCAGAGGACGATACTCACACTTGCGCACAGAGTCCTCAAAACCAGTAATGCCATCGATGAGCTCTCTGTTCTCCTCTAGACTCGTCTGTCCAGGACGGGCCAGAGAGGAGAGGAAACAAACATCAGCACGAGAAAACCAGAAAAATCGCAACACAGAAATCAGGAATGTCCTGAAAGGCAATTAGGATTAAAATGATAATAAAAATTGTTTTAAATGTGCTTCAAAAGCATTTCGACAAATAGAAGCAGAATACTTCATTCAAAGAGCAAGTTGGGCCGAAAACAAACTACTTACGAAAGATTAGGACACAATTCATTCATTCAGTTCAGACTAAAACGAAGGGAACAGCAGCAGGCGAGGTTTGAGGGAAAGATGAGCACCGATGACTCCGGCAGGTCGGAGTTCCGTTTTGGTGATTAATGTCAATTTTAAGTAGAAGCAGGAGGACGGGACACAATTTTTGATGTGTGTCCACATTTTTCATTCCATTTTTTTTTTAAATGCTAACATTGAGAGCTTGTTTCTATGGTCAACCAATCAACGCACGCTAGCGTCTGGACCAACCACTTTGACTTGCCCTTTGAACTCTGCTGCTCCTGCTGGGAAAGGAGAAGCTAAAAAAAGAAAAGAAAAGCAGAAAACAGCCTAAAAGCTGAATTCTACGAGCTCCTTTGTTGCTTGAGAAAAAAGGCCATACTAATAGTTTCTGGAAACCATGTGTCCTCAGCACAGCCCTTCAGCTGATGGCCCTGTTGAGGTTTTATTGTGTTTCTCTTACATGGATGCAGAGATTATGTGCATGTGGTTTAGTGTGAGTTTCGTACCCAGAAGCTCTGGAAGTGGCACGTCTCCAGCAGGTTCCCCAGATAGAGGATCTGTCTGATGGGCCGCTCCTCCTGCTGCGACACAGTAGTCAAGGAAATGCCCCCCTGACCCCAACACAGAGCCAAGCTCCGCCACCAGCACCACCCTGATCTGTTTATACACAGCCCTGCACAAAGATTCTCTAATACCACCAATACAGCCTTAATCAGAGAATTTCTGATATAAGCAAGAACTGCCACTCGATAGACTTCCTGTTCCAAAGGGAGCGCTCTCGAGGTACTCCACCATGAACAGGGCCCCATGGAGCTGAATACTGTGTGTGTGTGTGTGTGTGTGTGTGTGTGTGTGTGTGTGTGTGTGTGTGTGTGT